ATCTTTGAAAAGATCCTCCTGAAACGAATCCTACCCTTTATAGAATCCCAAAATTTTCCTTCACATAAGTTCGGATTCCGTTCACAACACTCCACAGTCCAACAAGGACTCCGAGTGGTCGATCATATTTCCGCAGCATTGGAAAGCAAGCAATATTGCACGAGTGCATTTCTGGACATAGCTCAAGCTTTTGACCGGGTATCGCACGCCGGGCTTCTTTCCAAGCTGAAAACCAATCTTCCTCAGTCCTTGTACCTTGTCCTCTGTTCCTACCTCTCAGATCGTACCTTCCGAGTTCGCTGCGGTAGTGAATTATCGAATTGCTATCCAATTGAGGCAGGTGTTCCTCAAGGTAGCGTATTGGGTCCCGTCCTTTACATCCTCTTTACCGCTGATATCCCTGTCCATCCCGATACCTTCCTGGCAACTTTTGCTGATGACACCGCCATTCTATCATCCGATTCAGATCCTGATATAGCATCCTTAAACCTTCAAAGACATCTCTCCCTGATTGAGCACTGGTGTAATAAATGGCGAATTAAAGTAAACGAATCCAAACGAATCACGCTCCGACGCAGTTCCTGTCCACCAGTACACTTTAATTCCATTCAGCTTCCTTTCTCGGACACAGTCCGGTACCTTGGATTTCTCTTAGACAGACGACTAACGTGGAACCCTCATACTAGACTTAAAAGACAGGAACTAAACCGACGATACGGACAACTATACCGGCTACTAAACAGAAAATCAAAACTTTCCATTGAAAACAAATTACTTATCTACAAGACAATACTGAAACCTATCTGGACTTACGGACTTGAACTGTGGGGAACAGCAAAATTTACTAACATCAAACGCATCCAATCCTTCCAATCAAAAGTCCTTCAAACAATAGCCTGCTCCTTTCTATGTAACCAACAAAACCCTACACCATGACCTTAATATCCCATTTGTCCTAGACCTTATCCCAGCAAAATTCTCCAAATTCCACTAGAACCTTACCCATCATCCAAATCCCTTTGCAAAATCTCTATCCAGCACCACCCATCCATATAATCCTCCAAGGAGATTAAAACGGCAGTGGCCCCGCGATATTTTATAGTTTGTAAATATTGGAGTTCTGGCAATGGCCAGATTCACCACTCATGACATGAGTGTATGTGGCTAAAGCACTCTTGCTCAATCTCCACTGGGTTTAGCCCTAGTGACGCGGTTGAGAGAGGAGTGAAGGGAACTCCTGGAGTCATACTTTTCCCTCCACAGTTGGAGGGACAAGTCTGGTTTGGAGTTCTCTCGCCAAGTTGTAAATATTGTATATAGGTGTACATGTGTTCTTTTTATTTATTTATTTTTAGGTTATTTTATTCTTGTTTATTGTATATATATTATTCTTCTGTATAATTTATTTTATTTACTGTACATAGAGTGTGAATGTGATCTGTGAACACTATTATTAATGTCCCTGAGACAGATTGTAATATATTTCAATAAATAAGCTATTAGAGATTTGCTGCATTTCATAAGTCATAAGACATAAAGTACGGGAAGTATCAGATACATAAAATCGAGATAAATTTCGAATGAGTGTGGTTGGCATATTGTCTAATATCAAAATGTTTACTGAAGTTGAAATTATCCATACATGTTTACATAAATAAATTCGCTTAACTTTCTATTTAGTTTTTATTTTCAAAATTCCACAGGCATCATGATTTTAGATAGTATCTTACAATCAAAGTCTTGATCACAAGCTCCATAATGAAACTGGGCTTATCACTACTTCATATAGGACTATGCTTAATTTTTTTTTGCCAATATCCATGACATGCTGAAATAAGAAGATGTTGTATGAGCATTCGCTGGCTGTCTCACTACGTCACATTGTAACTCAACCATAGTCTCAAAATTTCTTTACTCCAGAAGATGACATGATACAAGAAGTGATACGATAAGACATAGGTTTGGTGTGTGTGACTGTATTAGTGTTACCCAAATGCGAGACCAAGACGAGTCTTGGTCTTGCGACCTCAGTCTTGGTCATGGTCTTGGTCTTGCGCAAGAGTCTTGCAGTTACTTATTAGCTTAAGCCTGAATGAAAAAAATAAAGGAGTTATATGAAAAAGTATATTGGTTATATCAATTATTAACATATAGTAACTAGGATTGTCGAGTAAAAAAAAAATCTATTTTTTTACCAGTCCTGGTCTTGGTCTTGCAACAGGTAGGCGGCCTTGGTCTTGGCCAAGACCAAGACCGATTTTGGGCAACACTAGTCTATATATATGTATGTATATACCAAACTTGAAATTATCAAAATCATGACTATAATTAGTTTTCCTTAAGTCTTACTTCGACTAATATATTGTCTTCGGAGACGGGACCTTCTTGTTCATTACAAGCTATTCAGTCGTTTCCTTGTTAATCTCGAGACTTTTCTTCAGGCAGATCAATAAGACTGTTGCTTGCCATTTAATTTGTTTGTTTGTTTTCTAATGACAACAACATTGTCTGTTCACCATCAACATTAACTTAAACTTAACCATAAACAGCTTAACTCATAATTACACTGTCTTATAAGGAACGATATTACTTAAAATTTGTGACCAACAATCGCGATTCAATTATCTTTCCACATTGAATGATTCAATTAGTTCTTCTTCAATGCAAATTTCACCAGGCTTCAAGTTCTCTCAAGCTCAATTGTTCCAATAAGTGACTCATTGCACCCTAAAAATATAAAAAGTTAGTAATCAGTTCTAGTAAAAATACCTTCAAGTATTCATTCCTCCAAGCATTTTTCTTAAACTTCATAGTATAAAAAAATTTCATTTATTATGATTCTTAAAATTTATTATTTTTTTGTGTTTCTTTATTTGGGTTATATTACATACTGTCACAATTAAGGACATTGGTAGCAGCGGTAAAAGATTTCATTCAGAATATATTTGCAATAAATAGAAATACATTAAATAGAACAACAACGAAATAATAATATTGTATTAAAATTTAACCAATTAAAATACTCTTCAAAACACAAGCAATATTGCACTGGTGCCTTTCTGTACCTAGGATGAGTTGCTTATCAAGCTCAAAACCCATTTACTCCAATCCTTGTGCCTATTCTTCAAATCCGCTGCGGCACTGAATTCTCTAATTATTATCCAGTTGAGGCTAGTGTTCCACAAGGCAGCATCGTGGGCCCAGTTCTCTACATCCTCTTCACCGCTGACATCCCAAACAATCCCAATACCCTTCTAGCAACATTCGCTGACAATACCGCCATCCTGTCATCCCACCCAGATTCTAAGACAGCATCTCTAAACCTACAATGAAACATCCGTCTGATTGAGCAGTGTTGCAACAATTGGCGCATCAAAATCAACAAATCCAAATGTAAGCATGCCACCTTTGCCCTTCAACGCAGATCCTGCCCACATATCCTTTTCAAGTCTGTAACTCTTCCCGTCTCCGGCACAGTTCGGTATCTTGGATTCCTTTTAGAGAAAAGACTAACATGGAACCCACATACAAGACTTAACAGAAAATCTAATCTGTCAATTGAAATCAAACTATTAATATTCAAGGCCATACTGAAACCCATATGGATATATGGACTTGAGCTGTAAGAGACAACTAAATTTTCGAACATCAATCGCATCCAATCCTTCCAGTCTAAAGTCCTAAGTATAACAATCAATGCTCCTTATTATGTTACGAACAAAACCTAACATTATGACCTTTTCATCCCTTAAGTCCTTGAAGTTATTCCATCCCAATTCTCAAATCTTCACGTGAACCTATTCCACCTTCCTAATCCCTTAGCACAATCCTTATCAAGCTCCAGTCATCCCTACAATCCTTCTCAAAGGTTGAAACGGCAGTGGCCTCGAGATCTTCTGCAAAGACGTCACTGAAGTTCTGGCAATGGCCAGGTTCTCCACTCAAATTATGAGCGTCTGTGGCTTTACTACCCTCTCTCAGACTCCACTGGACTCTAATGACAGTGACGCGGCTAAGGGAGCAGCGCTGGGATCTCTTAGAGTCTCACCTTGTCCTTCACACGTGGGGAAAAGGGCTTGGCTCGGAGCTCCCTCGGCTGGTTGTAAATATGTTAATTAAGTATGAATGTTTTCCTTTTTTTAATCTTTATTTTTTTTATTTATCTATTTATTTCTTTAGTTATAATTTATTCAGTTTTGCTATGAATTTCTGTATTTTATTTTATTTTAAATCCAAGTCACATTTCTTTGGGTTAATTATAGTTTTTTGCCTTTGTCATATAGATATATATTTTTGATTTTTTTTTTTATTGTATTGTATGTATGGTATGGATGTGCCTCACTCAGTTATAGGAGTACCTCTCAGTTCCCTTAAGTGTGGCAAAAAGTATTATTCATTATTAAAAAGATCTTTAAAAAAAAATTAAAATAAATACTGCTGATTTGGAATTGCGGAAGTTCTGCCTTTTTCACATTACTCCTACATAGGAATGGTCTGCGCTTACTGTTTTCTTTCACCCATACACGAAGACTTCTTCGTAAGGGCAGTTATCTGCAGATACTAGTAGAAAAAAAGTGCATTTGCTGGTCACATGTTCGGCAGTTTCCGGAACACCAGGATTAGAGCATAGTGGATCGATGTCTTTTTCCAAGAACTTAATTTAACCAAACAAAAATAATTGTTTCGAATCATCTCAGTATGGTGGTTAGTCTGAAAAATGTATTAATCTCGAAAAATAAAATTAATCTGTCTTGATTAGATAACTTAAGCTTCATTTCAATAAATAAATTTTGTTTTTGGTCATTACTACATGTCTAAAATACCGATGACAGAAAATATGCAAACTAATATCCACATATAAATTCCTAAAACAGCCTGTTTGGTATTAATTTTTTATAAATTGTCTATTTTTCTAACCACTTCACGGAGCTATACAATAGATTTCCTAAATCATATTTTTTTCTTATCATATACATCATTCAAAACATTTTTATATTCTTATGTCGGCACGGAAACCATACCATTTCGGACTGCTACACGCAAGGTAAATAAACAAGGAATAACTCTAGACTCAGGCCAATAAATCGTAGCTAAATAATTGTTTCTCTGCGGAACGACAAATCGTCATAGAGGACGTAGAAGGGAGGGCAAATTTTCCGAACCAGGAAGTTCAAGGAAATTGGTTTTCTTGGCTTATGCGAGAGTCGAGATACAAGAATGAAAAATAATGGTGTCGCATTTTTTTTTCAAATCGTTTCGTTTGCTACTAAAGCATTTTCAAACCATTTATAGAAATATATTTATTTAATTAAGAATGTCTTTAGTATTTCTTCGCTTGATCATATAATTTTAAAGTTGTGACTAAAATTTAACCATTGATAATTAGTGGTAAGTAAAATTACTATTATCTTTTACCAGTTTGAGAGAGTATTTACACAGTGACATATCAGTAGTGATAGGAGACGCGAAGCGCTCCTTTTGTCACATTATTTTCTATCAAAAAACAAAAAAAAAAAAAAACAAAGATAGGCACTTAAAAGTCAAACTGAATCAATATTTGTCAAAATGTTGGGCATTAAGGATAGAAAGCTATTATTGATGCCGCAATATTTTCTGTTGCTATTTTTATCAAGTAAATACACATACCCCCATATATATAAATTCAAATGAATTCTATTAATTTTAAAAATTTTGTAACCTATATAATTAATTTTTAATTAACTCTAGCCCTAGATTAATAATGATTCAGTTAAAACTGTCGGATAGTACAAATCACGGAGGCCGCACTTGGCCTCGAGGCCGAAGCTCCCTTTTCTATGTCCTTTACAATTCTAATCATTTAACTCTCGAAAGCCAAATAATACATTCGAATTATTGAAATCATCGCGATATTCTTTTGCTTAATTAATCGAGATCCTACTTGATTATCCTAATCAGGAAAGGTATTTCTCCCAAAAAAACTCGCCCTGTAGAATCGAATCATGAACTAAACATTATAACTTAATTTCCTTATAAAAATTATAATTATCACATATATCTTTAAATAAACATCAAAAATAAATAATGAATGACTGGCGGTACATTAAGAAGTAAGCATTTACTGAGTCTTTAAAGTAAGAATGGGATTCTCTACATTTCAAAGCCCTATTGTCTAGCACCCCTACTTTTACTAGAACACTGGTTAGATTAAAGCCATTCAGTATCCAAGTTAAACAGGAACTATGCATTCAAAATAAAAGTCAATTGCGAAGTTAACTTTATTTGGATTTCATTGTGAGTAAAACGTCCTTTAGATTGAAATAGGTTGATACCTAAGTGTTGCCTCTACAGACATTAGAATTGCAACTCAATCGTTCTTTTCAATGAGATTCGAATAAAAGATTTGGCCTTAGTGACTTTTGTGATATTTTCTATCTAGCCTTTTCATTTTTCCTACAGCAGGCGAATCCATTAAAATATAGTAAGTTCATAGGTTTTTAACAAAAATCCTCTTGTATAAGGTATATGTGTGAAGATAATTCATTCAATTTTCACTCAAATAGTTCATTTTGGTTATTTATTTTTTCAGTTATTATTCAGTTTAATTTATACTTATTATTATTGATGTATGTAAATTACTTAAGGTATTTTTGTCGTTATTTTGTATATTTGTATACATTATTTTTCGGTTGGCTCTATAGTCCATGTAGATCTTTGACCTGGCGAATATATATCTTCTTACAAACGACATTGCTTACGGGAGTATGAATAGTGTGGAAGGGATCACCAAACCTCACGTTGCTACGGATCATGGTCTCAATTATGCAGAGGCAAGCCACCATCCGTAGCTCTAGAGCTGATCCCTTTGGAGCCAATTAGTGTCCTTCGCACCGATTCAATTGGACTGGGTTCAAGAACAGTGGCAAATCGGTCTAGATCTATAGATTATGGCTGCTTAGTGTTATCGGATACACGAGGACTCTTTATTTCTTTTCCTCAAACAGGCTGTTCATGGACCCAACCTCTAGAGATCTAAGCAGCTTTATCATCCTTAGAAATCGTTTGAATTCACACCACATCAAATATAGAATAGAATAAAAAATTGAACTTTATTCTAGGACTAAATCCCCTTAGAATAACAATGATGAATTATAAAAATTCTAACATTATATACATTATTTAAAAAATAGTATGTAACCACTAAAAAAACAACAGAAAAAAAAATTAAATGAACATAAGTTCTTCTCAAAATAACTTATTATTTTGATATAAAAAAAATAAATTATTTATATTTAAATGACTACACAATTTATAAACAATTGGCTAACTAATAAAAAAATAACTTAATACAAAATGCCATAATATCTATAGTCATTGATATAATAATGTGCAAACACAAAGAGAAATAAAAATAAAATCTCAGGATTACTTGTAGTGTAATGAAAAAAAAAGAACTATATATACATACATACTCATATTGGTACATAGAGAAACAAAAAATATAAATATAAATAAAACTATAATATAATAAGATAACAAAAGTGATAACAGAAAGGCATTGGGTTAGATGTTAAAATATGTAGTTATCTCAAACTTTAAGCTCAAAAGAACTGAAATACGTTTTGGATCAACAACCAAGAAATCAAATAAACAGAAAAATATTAAATCTGAAACCAAAACCTAGAGGAATTCATATCGAAATACCAGAAGAGAAAATGTAGATGTCACACGATTAAGAATCGTTCACACTCGGCTGACGCATGGCTGACACATTCTGGAAGATTGTCAGAAATATAGCAGTTACTTTCAAAGTTGAAACTTTGGAAGATAAATTCAAACAACACTAGGCGATAATAGTAACAATATAGAAGTAATAATTGCATTCTTTAAAGAAAATAATTTGTTTAATAAAATATAATATAACAATCAAAGAGCAATTTTAATAATTCCCGGTAAAAGGATACGTAAGACCTAAGCAGTTGTGTGTCTATAAACTATTAATTAATTAATAGTTATTAAACACTTAATGTCGGAGTGTGTCTCATGAGGCGGTACAGGTATTAGTTTGAGAAGCACTCCTCCTGCTAGAAGACGTGTTAAAGGATACAAAGAAGAGTCAGCAGATCTGCCGGAAAATCTCAAAATAAAGGTTTATAAATTCCATAGAAAATGGAAAACTATTACTCGGAAAGATGCAATTGAAGAGTGAAATCTACGGCGAATGACAAGCCCGAATGCTGTCACCTTGAGGAAGTACCCCACGTGTTCAATCACGTTTGGAAGCTAAGTTGGTCCTCGCTGGATTACTAGATCTTGTCATTCTTAGGGCGTGGGGCTTTGGAGGCAAGCTCCATGGACTTGGGAAAGACATGGATCCCCTTTACTCTAGTTGTGGGAGACCGGTCTCTTTATTCTAGGCCTTTTTGGGTGGCCTTCCAGGGGAGCGAGGAGGAGTGGAAGTAGGTAGAAATTATTAACAACTGAACATTTGAATATCTGAAGCTGTACAGCTGACTACAATATGTAAATAGTTTCATTGCAGCAGAAAGGAATAATGCAGTAATGCGTAACAACCCAGTCTTGCAACATAAGTATTGCCTAAAAAGCACGAAAACGTATAAATAAACAAATGCTATGATCTAGGTTTATGTCGTATATCAACATCACTTTTAAAATAACACAAGTTTACATGATTTTACTAAATTTAGATTAGAATAAAAAGGTATATAAAATAGCCTAAAACCAACAACGATTCAATATTAGATATCACCGATCGTTTAAACATGGATCATGACAAATAGACGATGAAATATGACTGATATTTTTTTTGTTCGCATTCGAAAATTCAAATGGCTATTGGCTATCCTTTTTTTGTTGATAATATTTAATGGTCTAGATCTTTGAAAACGGGGGCAGTAAACAGGCTGACCATAAAGATAAACAGTGCGGCTAAAAAATCGTTCTGAAAGAAAAACAAGTCTGTTTTAGATTAATGACGCTCCGTCCACTCTCTTAAGAAGGCAGGGCTAACCAACAGCTCCTCTATCATTGATTTGCCGAGGAACTATCAATTATAAAGCAATTGATTTTATAAGTAACTTAAGTTTTTAAAACGTTCAATATCTACTTGTCAACTGTTGACTCATAAATGAAAATAATAAGAATAAAATCCTCCCATCCCAGTTATTCATAGAACAGTCAATAATCTACACTAAAAGTATGCTATAATAAGTAAAAAAAAAATATATATATATATATTTCTTTTTTTATTTATTAAAATTTACAACTTGGTAGACGTGAAAAAATCAAGAATAATGGCATAGATACTACTCTTGTCAAGATACTACCCAATGGTAGCACTCCTTAAATAATTGTAATGATATCCCGAGACCATTTTTTCAGACGCCCAGGAGGATTATTCAGAATCAAGGACGAAACAAGGCTAGAGAGAAGTGGATTTTGGATGGGTCTGGATTTTATCCTTATATGTTCTGGATCGGGCCTAATCAGCGACATATGAGACATTAAGGCATTTATGAATGATTATATTTGCGACAAAATATGAAGAATTTTGGATTGTAAGGATTAAATACGGTAGGAATTCATTGAACTGGTGAAACCACAATGCTCAACTCCAATATCTAAAAGCAAAAAATACTATAGGACGAAAAGCCATTAGTTTAGGAGGAAAATAACTTAAATCTTTCATACTGTTCAACTTTAATCGTTTAGTTTTAATTTTAGAAATTATTCGAATTTCGAAATTTATATTATACTAATGTGATTAGATAAACGTTGAGCAAAAAAAGTTAAAAGAAAAACTGTTTTATTTTATTTATACATTCTCATTATTTAACTACATCAATATTGAACTAATTCCTATGATCCACTAATTATATCTTTGATACATTTTGTATTTGTTACCTGAAGTTGTTAACGACTATTCATTTTCAAGTTCATTTTTTCATGCATCCGCAAAATGTTTATAGTTTCTTAGAAAAAAAAAATTAGAATGATTATATTTGCGACAAAATACGAAGTATTGAGTAGTTCACGAAGAATTTTGGACTGTAAGGATTCAATCACAAGGATGTGGTAGGAATTCAATGGACTGATGAAACCCCAAAGCTCAACTCCGTATATCCAAAGTAAAAAAATACTATAGTACCAGAAGCCGTAAGTTTAAGAGAAAAATAACTTAAATCCTTCATATTGTTCAACTTTAATCGTTTAGTGTTAATTTTAGACGTTCGAAACTTATATTATACTGATGTGATTAGAGAAATGTTGAACGAAAAAGGATATTCTACAGAGTCTGAGTGTGCTCTCTGAACACTATTATAAATGTCCTTGATTGTGACAGAATGTAATATTTTTAAATAAAATAAAACGTTATGTATTCTAATTATTTAACTACATCAACATTGAACTAATTCCTATAATCCACTAATAATATTTTTTTTTTTATTTTAATGAAATTTACAACTGTATTACATAGAAAATACAACAAGTAAATGTGACATTGTTAACATGAGATGTACAACATGAAGAGAAACTACCCATTGGTAGAACACAAATTAAAGTTCTATATTAGAAGGTCCCGAGGCCATCTTCTTTTCAGACGCCTCGGATCGAGGAGGAAGCAAGGTTTGAAACGAGAGGATTCGGATGGTTCTGCAGTTTGTTATGGAAGGAAAAGTATCTGGATTAGGCCAAATCGGAAACATATGAAACATTAAGGTTTTTATGGATGATTTTATTTGTGACAAAGGAAGGAGCGTTGAGGATTTTACGAAGGATTTTTTACTGTAAGGATTGAAAACGAGAGGAATTCGATGGTTTAGTGGAGCCCCAAAGCTCAATTCCGTAAGTTCAAATAGGTCTTATTATTGTCATATATATGACTCGTTTGTAATTTATTGAAAGCTTAGAGCGTTTTTCTAGTAAGTGCTGCAGTAGTCGAAAACGTCGGGCGGTTTCTAGTCGTTTCAGTCTGGTATTGGGGTTCCAAGTGAGTCGTTTGTCAAGGTGGAGTCTTATGTATCGGATTTGTTCGACAGGGATAAGAATGCTATTGTTGAAGGATACTGTAGGACAGGAAGTCATAGGTTTACGACGAAGAGTGAGGGTAATTTGGTGGGATTTATTGGAATTTATTTTAATCCTCCAGTTTTGACACCATTTTTCAAGACTTGTGATGTGTGATTGAAGAGTTTGGGATGCAATAGATGGATCGTTATTAACTGATAGGATACACGTGTCACCGGCATAGGTGGTGATGACAATGTTGGAATGACAAAAAAAAATTAACCTGAAATTTTAATCGAGAGAAAGTACAAAAACATACATCATTATTTTTTTTTTTTTTGTTAATAAATTGAATAAAAGCACCAAATTCAGTCAACTTGGCTCTGTTTAACATTTTCTAATTTTTTATTTCTTGTTTTATTACAGGTGCACGAAGTATACGAAGCCGGTTGAATATGACCGCATCTGCGATAATATTACGACCAAAGACATGAACGTGTTCCTGCAGTTCGGGGACAACGTGTTCTCGGCCCGGTGCTGGAGGGGGGTAGCACACGACGAGGCCAGGGGGGCCGATGTGGGGGTCGTCATACCCTCGATAGAGGTGTGGCACAACAGCAGCAACACCACCCTCATGGCCTCCTGCCACACTGTCGTCAAAAATGGCACTACCGTCAGGTAAGGGATTTATCAATAATAATCACAAACATAAAGAAATTTTGACAATAATAAGCCTACCTTAGTTCATTACAGTACAATGACATCGTATTCACATCACATCCATTCTGCTATCTTGAATAATTCATATGAACGGGGGGCAAAAAAATTAAAAAGGCCCATACGAGTTGAGATTTGCATAGTTAAATAAAATTTGTTGGACTTGATACTGGACTGGACCTTATTTAAGCCATATAGTCTCCGACATTCATCCGGCTTTAGACAGAATCGGATGAGCCCGTTTCGAAATATCGAAAACAAGGAAATCAAGGAAACGTTTGCGCAGTTCAAATTAATCGATGTAGTTTGTGAAAATTGATATCAGATACTCATACAACCTATTTTGTTTTTTATTTATCATTGTAAAGCTTCCTTATCTTCGGTAATGAAGAAGCGTAATAATAAAATTATTTACTATTTATATTTAATTGGCTCGCCATGTGTCTATTTTTTTATTTGTCAATTTTTTTATGTAACTTATTTTTTCTCGGTCCGACACGGGTCAGAACTTTCTTCCATCAGGTCTATCTGAGCAGGAGTACCTCAAGGTTCAGTACTCGTTCCAGTACTCTATATCACATACACCCATGACATACCTTGCAGTCCCAACATTTTAACAGCGACATCTGCAGACGACACAGAAATTTTAGCAAGACATAAATATCCAACATACGACTCACAGACCCTACAACAGTATTTAACAAGATTACATGACTGGTTTAAAATTTGGAAAATTCGACTAAATCAAGACAAGCACAGCACATCACAATTACGCTTCGACATGAAAAATGCCCTCCAGTTTTCCTTGAAAATACACAGGTTCCACAGACAGACACGGTTCACTACCTTGGTCTGCCATTTGACAGAAAAATGACGTGGGGCGCACATATAATCAAGAAAATAAAAACGCTAAATCAAAGGTTAAGAATTCTGAGTTCACTTCTTTCGAAACTTCAAAACTAAAACTTAGACAGAAATTGAACACATACAATTACTTACTAAAACCTATTTGGACTTACGCATTACAGATTTTTGGAACAGCGAAAGAGACTCACTTAAACGAGCTTCAAACCTTTCAAGCAAAAACATTCACAATAATTACAAAAGCACCTTGGTACGTTAGCAACATAACCTTACATACTGACCTTCATATGCCGACTGTTAACCAATACATACGAACTCATTACAAACGATTCCATGACAACTTACAAGGACATCCTAATACAATTATAAATGACATGGCCTCTACGAATATGCCAGGTAACGTCTGTAGAAGTCTGAAGAGGAGCTGGATGAGGGATCTCCTCGCCTAATGTAGATATCAAGCCGAGTGAGATGCCGCTGGGCACTGATCCTCCTCATGCCTTTCATGACATTATATTTAGCAATCGATCTCACATTCACTGGTTGTCATTAGCATTATGACAGGTGTGAATAAAAAAAATTAAACCAAAAAAAAAAACTTAATTTTTATCTTATTGCCTTTCTTGAAATATTTTACAATACATATTTATTATTTAAAATACTTTTTTGGCACTCGTAATAATCAATAATAAAAACAGTTATTTGTTTGAAGAAAAAAAATATATAATGACTTTAATTTGGTCAGCTTATAAAATCACATGAATTCTGCTAGTTTTGAAGTCTGTTAAAAAAAAAAACAAGAAAAAAAAGAAAAAAACAATAAACATTTCATTCTATTTTTTTTTCTTTCCTGACAACATTTTCATTAATAAAGTCTCTTTTTCTGAATTTTACCTCTTCTAAATCAGACATGGACGCCGAAGCGAGCAGCTACCGAACCCTGAAAAATAAGCAGAGTAACAAATACCCAGGGGCCATCAATAAGAGACTCGTGGGAATTCCTCTGGAGGATCGATAATGGACCACGATTCAACGAGACCTATCTGGAACCCATTGGTCCGGAAGAATTCAAAAGAAAATATTTAAGTGAACATTATATGCTGCTCAAAAGGAATACATTAATGGTGCCATGGAAATAATTCAGAAAAACATTTGTCTATAATATGCAAATTAAGATATTGTTCCTGTATGTGGTACTGGTGAATAAAATGTTATGGAGAACAAATTTCAATAATATTGCATTAATTAATTAGCTTAAGCATTCTCTGAAGTTGCCAAAAATTTTTATTTTAAAAATGATAAAATACATTGAAAAATCCTTTGTTCCCCAATCATGATGATTTATTGTAGTTTTTTAGCAATTGGTTTTACAACTGATATACATTATAGTTTTACGAATATAAAAGAAATACCTAAGATTATAATATTTGAATTAAAAATTAATATAATTGGATGAAATTTTGTGTGTTGATCGTGTTTTCATAGACGATTTTTTTTTTAATTCATCATTTCTTATTGTTAGCTGTTACTTGTCTTTTTATGTTTTAATAATAATGTTTATACACTTGTGAACTAATATAATCTAATATGTTGCTAATATTAAGAACTGAATAAAAGGAAGGCTTTTAGAATTTATAAATAATATGAACAGAAGTGTGTGAACGACGTTGTTAAGAACCACATATTAAGTGTCAACCCTCTGGTTTTGAGGATTAGTTATGTAAATCTCTAAAGGATTTAAGATTATTATTTAAGCTTCTTTACAATTGCGGGTTTAATATTTGCCAGGCAACCACAGATTTAAATGAATTACTATAAAATTAAATGTTACATTTCATATTTTATGCATAATATACTCTTAACTACTGTTATAATAACAACGCAGATTTTTATTGTACTTGTGAAGAGGTAACAAGTGAGTAGAAAATTGTACATATAATTATTTTTCTCTCTTTCCTAAGTTTCGTCGGGTGTATAAGCTAAACAGATTTTGGATAAAAATAAGTACGTATTTTATTGAGGGTTTGTTTCTATTCCGTTTTCGTAATTTCATCCAACTTTCAACTTTAATTTTATCCAACATCAAATGCTAAAAATCGGTAGAATATTTTCCATATAAATGGTATGGAAAAACTGATCCATAAAAAAAATTATTGCGAGCTCTAGGAGGGACTGAGTTTCTAAGCAACAAATGTGAGCATAAATGCACTAAATATTCAATTCCATAGATTTGAATAGTTTATAACATATGGTCTTGACTGTTTCTATAACTTTTCTTTCATATAAAAAATGAACTGTTTTCATAGAAACAGATAGTAATTGGCAGGTACGATAAAAATACGATGCTACCCCACGATGCTACGAGAATTCGTATTAATATTTACTGATTATACTATTAGTAAGTTTTGTCGTAAATCGTAACTTTTATCTTTCTAGGTAATTATAACAACATTAATTTACACCAGAATTTCACTTTTTTTTTTTTTTTTCCTACTTAAATTGATAATTGTATATATGTACGAACATCCTATTTTACTGGCCTCAGGCATAGCCTATTCATATGTTATCACTGCGCATTGGAACTAAATTCTTAGTTTTCGGTTTTATCAACTTAATTCCAGCTCTACTTTTCGTCCAAATGTACAGAATAAAAAAAAAAGGCTTTTATAAAAAAAATAAATCGCATCTTGTATGTTGTAGTGGTATGCTCATTTCTACTCCAACAGAATAAAATAGGGCAACAGATAATCGATTCTCAGGTTCAAACTGGTTTATAGGCACGTGTCGAATACTTAAAATCGAATCTAATCGCGCGTGCGCTATTCGTGACGTCCAAAAGTAGGAGCGAAACGGAAAGAAAATGGACGGATGAATAAGAACTGTTATGGTATTTTGTTCCCTGAAATTGTATAAATAACTCGTTGTAATATCATAATCAAAAAAGCATTTAATAGTGACTGATAATAGGCCATAAATTGACTCATACTTCTAAAAAGTCCACAACGACTTTAGTTACTATTATAACTTTAACATTATCAAAATGTTTCATCAAGTATATGAAAACTTTTTACTTGGAATTATAACATTATTCAGTCCTTCTTTAAATTATCTAAGACACGCATTACAGGAAAAAAATAATTTCAGTAAAGTAGAACAATGACTATTTGATGAAAAGCAATTGGTTCTTCATTCATGTCATTATTCTCATTAATGCAAAAACAAGATTAATTTCCTACTTACGACTGTATGACTCAAAAAAGCAGATCAATGAGGGACGGATTGTAAACGAATTTATTTAAGTTAATCTATATCCCAAATTTTTTTTCAAGTGTCTCGAAGTTAGTTCTGAGAGGTACTTCATTGTCACAAAGTATGTCTCAAGCGTGCCATGGAATATGGCAACCCATGGTTACAGTTTTTTTTTTTTTTAACAAGTGATTGTCACTAGTCACTTGTCTTTCTTTCTTCACTAATGTGGTTCATAGAAGCTTTAATGCCTTAATTCGATTAGGAATAACCAAAAATAATTGTCTGAAAACTCCAAGCAGAGGATTTCTATCATACCTGTATGTCATCACTTTTTATTTAATTTATATTTTTATACTTCAAGTTATCTATAAAATATAAATTATGGGTATATATTTAATTATTTTTAGTTCCGTGGATGATCTTGCATTTTTGGACCTTTTCTTCCGTTGATGTTTTCACAATTTCTGAAATCCTCTAGACGTCGAATTAGACCGACTGATTTATTTGCTACTTATTTATTTCATATATATCATGGGGCTATAAGACGAATTCTGGCCTTCTCCATCAGTTTCCTCCAGTCATTTCTGCTCTGTGCAGCTGTCACAAAACTTCTGATTCCCTGGATATCCCGTGCACTTCTGGCTACACCATTTTGCCATCTGAGTTTTGGTCTTCCTCTTCTTCTGATTTCTGTCAGAATTTCTGAGTGCTTCTGTCAGAACCATCTTGTGGATTGCTTCGTCATCCATCCTAACCACGTGGCTAGCCCATCTCAGCCTTCCAAGCTTCATTTATATAAGCATATTTTTTTCATCAAAAATTAAATAAATTTCGATATTCGTCCGTCTTCTT